TATATATATAAAATCAATAATGCCCTAGAGGAACTGACTTATCTCCTTGATAACACGTTCTCCCTTTGCAACGTTCTAGTAGTAAGCAAATTTTATCCATAATAATGTTACTTATTTGCATTTGTTACTTTATGTTTAACAGTCACTTTGATTTAAATGTATCCAAGAGAGCACTTTTTTCAATGAAAAAAGGTACAGAGTGAGATAATATATTTGCATACACAATTCTTCACTAAGAGTCACATAGCCAAATGTATAAATGTATACACAATTTGTCACTGGGTGCATCTACACATGCAATTAATATTCATAAATAAACTCTACAGCTTATTGCTCTAGGGTATGGCATTTGAATGTGCATCCAGAAGCAAAAAACCTCAAGAGCATGTTGTTCAGGAGTATGCTGTGCATAACATGTGCAGCCCAGTCAGAGCACCCTTGGTTGGCAGGGGACCTGGGGAAGGGTCAGACTGCCAGCCAAGGGCTGCTCCAACCAGGCTCCACATGCTGTGGAGGGGGTGGCTGAGGCATGAGGGTGCTTCAGTGCAGGGCTAGCCAGCAGGCAGCCCCCACACAGAAGCACTCTCGTGCCCCAGCTAGCTGCTCTGCAGCACGTAGAACCCTGTCAGAGCAGCCCTGGGCTGCTGCTGGCTAGCCTCATGCCTGCCAGCTAGCCCCACACTGAAGCACCCTGTGCTCCAGCTACCTGGGGCAGCATCTACTTGTGCTTTGATGCACATGAGAAAAAAAAAAACTGTGTAGTAGTTAAAACACTGAACAGTTTATTAGTTTTATGCATCCTAAAAGGTGCAAACATGTAGATGCCAAAATATTTATTGCGCAGTTAATTAATCAACTGTGCAGGAAATGTCTTGTGTAGATGCACCCACTGAGAGTCACATAACCAAATATATAAAAATCATTTTGTTACATACCATACAAAGCTCAAATAATATAATACCAATGGACCACACATCTGATTTAGGGCCAGAGGGTAGAGGCTTCTCACACTGAGTATGATCACTTGGTTTGACTATCCCCTGAGCAATAACTTCAGGTGCCAAATATGATGGGTACCTATAATGAAACATAAGTGTATGTCATGAAGTTTGAAATTCTCCAAAGTAAGTTCTTGTTCCAAAAAAAATTATAAGAAAATTCATTAAAAATTCAAAAATCACCTAGATGCCCCATCATCAAAGCATAGCAATCAAACTGCTATCAATGATACTACAGTTAGTATTTTCCATAAAAAAGGACTTATCATAAGAACAGGAGTAAATGGTAGCATCTTTGATAAGAATACATTTCCTACACATCATATATTTGCATTAAATCTTATTATATGCTCTTATTTAATTTACTGCTAGGTGTAATTTACTGCTAGGTGTATTTCAGTGTTTTGTTGTTAGCATCTTTTGACTGTCACCAATATTATCATTTGCAATCTTTAGCTCATAACCAACAACTAAATTTGATTTAATTTAGTAACACATGGAAAACCAAGTTTAAAAAACCCAAACACTTATCCTAGTTGGTGTTAACAATTTACTTTTAAAAAACTTGTCTGGAATAGGACATCTATACCAGATTCCTAATACTTTTAAAAAGGCAACTTTTGAGGGGACAGAAGTCACAGCTGTGTATGGTGCCAGGAGATATAAATACATTTAAGTGCTCCACAGACAATAGGGAGTCAAAGGAACTACACAAGAATCAAAAAGACTTTATACAGGAACTTGGGATGCCAAGGCCACAGGGCTGGGGCCAGAAGCAATCAGAAGGAGCCACTGCTGCAGGGTCTGCTGGGAAATGGAGTTTGCTGCAGTCTGGACTTTGCCCACCTCTCCTCCAAACAGCAATTAAAAAAAATCAAAATTTAGGCTGCGACAGTCTAACTAGATGTTCTGATTGGACAAAATGTAACAAAAATCATTGCTTATTTAAAATTAAGAATGCTTTTCCTTTTTAAATCAACTACTTCGTTATTCTGTTAAATGTAGACTGATCAAAAATGAAGTTTTTCATCTTTAGAGCTACTATGTCGACAGACTCAAACCACACCATTTAAGTATTTGAACTTAAGCTGCCTGATCATTCTAAGCAACTTTCAACTGAGTGCTACAAGCATCCTTTGATACATGTTAAGGTTTAATATTATTTTAATCGATTGAAATGCCCTTTAAATATTTCTAAATTTATTTTGAGATTTTTCATGTTTCAATTACTCAAGTCACCTTATTATTTTTCCCTGAAGAAAGCCTAACTTTTTTGTTTTAAGGCATATCAAATAGTATCAAAAGTATTAACCTGTCAGGCAAGGTTCTTTGGGTGAATCTAGTATCTTTTATTAGACCAACTTAAATAGTTGGAAAAAAATATTTAAGCAAGCGTTTAAAAACCTTTAGTCAGGCTGAGGAAGTTTCTGCACTTGGTGTGTGCTCTTCCTGCATGGAATGAAAGTTTTACTTCCAGGCAGGAAGAGCACACACCAACTGCAGAAACTTGGTTGGCCCGACGAAGGGTTTTTAAACCTGAAAGCTTGCTTAAATATATTTTTTCCAACTATTTAAGTTGGTCTAATAAAAGATACCAGATTCACCCAAAGAACCTTGTCTGCTTATGTCCTTAGACCAACACGGCTACAACCTACACCCCTTTTAACCTGTCAGATGCATTCAACTTCAAACCTCATTTGAAGTTTTAATCCTCTTTGCATCATGTAAAAACACTACTAAAATTTACAAAGATCAAAAGTTAAAAAGACTGACGTTCCAGTTAATATTATGGAGGACCAGTGTTTTGCTTTGGGGACAGAAATTACCTCATTTTGCCATTAAATAATCTGTCTTTGTCTATTTTAAGTGTATTCTTTTAATGTACCCAAAGTATGAAAAAGTATAGCATTCTCAAAGACCAAAGCTTTCCAACTTCCAGGTAACCAGAGGCTACATGCTGCATGGGCCATAGTCCTAAGGGCCATATAAGTTGGGCTACAGACCAGGGGCTGCTCGCTGTGTGAACACCATCCTCCCTCCTCCTGGCTTTCCTGTACCGCTCAGGCAGCCTTAACTCCTTCCTCCCCTTCAAGCCACATAGGCAGCCTGGTTCCCCCTCCCCACCCAGCCACACAGGCAGCTACCTCCACCCACTACACAAAGAGCACCTCCCTCCCCTCTTGGCCGTATGCCCACCTGCAGTGTGAGTAGCCCAACTCCTTCTGTCATGTACTGTGAGCATAACATGCACAGCTTGGGCACCCCAACCCCTCCTGGTATCCCACCTCGCTCAGTCCCGAGGAGAGGGGGAAGGAAGTAGAAGCTGAAGGACAGTGCGAGAGCCCCAAAAAACAGCTGCTATGGAAGAAGCCACAACAGAGGGGTGGGTAGCAGTGACTGGGCAGGAGCCTGTGGGCTGCATGCTAACCCTTTCAGAGGCTGCATGTTGCCTACAGGCTGCTAGTTGGACAGAGAGTATGTATGAAACATGTAAATCTACTGCATACTCATATACATAACATCTTAGAAGAAATCTGGATGCCAAGCTTTAAATCAGATAAATTTACAAAAGGATTGTTTTACATAAAACAAGATCATTTCTCCAATTACAGAGATCTTTACAAAACACTGCTGCCAAAAAATGTAGTGCCAGAACAAGAACAGTAATCTAGAAAGCAGTAGACCAATTGCAGAGCAAACACTCATAACTTTCATTCAGAGACAACTATTTTTAGCAGAGTTCATAGTGAAGAAATACAGTTTTTGATGTATTACACAGCAATGTGCTGTTTAAAACTAACAAGTGTCCTTTACTCTTTCACTCCAAAAGTTACATGTCATTCTGGACACAGTACCTTTCTTTTTAATTTATTTTTGCTATATCCTGCTATAACTTTTATCCTGTGACCAGCAATGGTACAAAGGAGAGGACATACTCAGTTGTTGACAGACAGTCGAAATATCGTGGATCCCTCCATGATCCCCATTCAATACACTTTAAATTTTCTTTACATTCACAAATATAAAAAAGGACATCGATGTGTAATAAATTTTTTAGCTAAATCTCGCTGAGCAGTGTAGAAAACAAAAGATTGTAAGTTCTACAAGTTTACCAATAGCACATGGAGCTTTCTATACGTACTTTTGCATGTTTTTAGGTTTGGTTTTCATAGATAAAATGAATATAACAAGCGTCTTGAATTCAACTATAACTTGAAGCAATTTATTTACTTTTACATATTTGCATCAAATAAGATTTTGTATGTTTGTCATTCATTTGTTTCCTACCCCCAGTGTTTAATATTGATAAAGTGCTCATTATTGTAGTATCTGGGGACTGAAAGCAGAACTTGCATCAGTAACTTCTATGAAGAAATAAAAAAATGCTTTATTGGCTCAAGCCCAAGGTTTATTTCCAAAAGTATTCAGCAACAGATGCTACAGAAGAAGGCATAACGACCCCACTGAAAGAACACATGGCATGATCTCTCAGAGGGTTTAGGCTGAGACTCTCACAAAGAGTTAGTTTGGACAAATGTGCTAATTAATTACTTAAAATCTGGATAGCATCATTATGGATTTATGTACTCAGTTCCTCTGACTCTTAGGCCCCTGGCAGACGTTACACTTAAGACATGGTTAAGCAGTTACTTGCATATTAAAAATATAACCCAGCCACATGTTCAGGCAATTAGTGGTGCAATAAAACATGAAATAAGCCACAAAATTATTACAATACTTTTATGATTAGGTAGCTTTGGTATGGTCCTCATCCTGCTGACAATCAGCTGATGGTTGGCTGGCATGGACCATACCAAGTTTGAGCCAACTCACTGTGGCTGGTTCAAGCCACAGTCTGGTCTGCGGAGCCTGCTGATGATCAGCTGATCACTGGTTGGTTTGGAACTGCATCAGGATTTGACCTCCAGGGTGGTCCTGATCCTGCCAACCTTCAGCTAATCCATCAAAACTGGAGGTCAAAAATCCACAATTCACAAAGTAGTTCTTTCTGTTACTAATCATTTCCAACAAGTGCTTATTCAATATACAAAGCCTAAGATTTTTATGGTGTATAGACTACTCACCCTATAGGGAAATCAACATCCACACCATGAGCTGTCATATGATACAGTCCAAATTTGGCCAATTTAACATGTCCCTGTGAAAGTAAACATGTTAGTGGTGAAGCTCTTGGTTACTTAGAGCACAATTTAAATACAAAATAAAAAACCCTTTTGTGATCTGAAACGTGTAAAAAAGGTGAGGACCAAAGTTCTCTCAACACCCATAGTGCTTTTAAAAATGCAGAGCCTAGATTCCAGGTCCCAGTTCACATGTAAACAGAACTCCATTGAAAACTAGTAAGAGTGTTTACTTGCCAGGCAGTGTGTGGATAGGCAATAAGCATACTGCCCTGTAATATTAAGCATCCTAAGTTTCTTTTCAACTATATAGTTTTTAAAGACTGTTCCTTCAATTTCTCTGACTTTCATTCAAATGGTTTTCTAGAGTATGTGAACTCTGGTGTAAAAGTTTCCAAATGCACTCCATCCACCGTAATTCCAGCCATCTTTCATTTACTTATCTTCCTCCTTTCCTTGTTTCTCACTTACTCCATGCTCAGCATTTATCTCTTTCCTTTAACACTGACTCCCTCCCCTTTTATTTTCCCTATAGTTTCTGCCATTAGAATATTTCCCAGATATCAGCCCTATCGAATTAATACTGTTTGGGGGTTGTTGTTGTTTTGTTGGGTTTTTTTTTTTTTTGTCAGAGAGATGCCATTTGCCACAAGGTTACCGTGACACTTCCAAATATGAAACTAAAGTTTCCTGGAAATTCTCTCAATTCTAACGTAATTACTTCAAGAGAAAAAACAGAAATCGGTTAAAAAAAACAACAACAACAAAAAAGACTCCTCTTACTAGTACCCCCACAGAAAGTAAATTTTGTTGGGAAGCTGTCTTGGGATTGGTGCAAAGGTGAAGAATATTTGTTAAAGCCATTAAAGGGAAGAGGTTAAAAACCAAAAATTCCATGAATGCAATCTCTCTAGCACCCTTTCTCCTTTAACTTCAATAATTTATCACTGTCCTAGGAGTCTAAGTCCTGTTGATCTTCAGAGATTTTGTTGAAGGATTTAAATTTCTAAATTAAAATACAAGTCATTTTACCCCATGCAAAGAGACAGAACAGAACAATGTTCTTTTTTGCTTCCTTTCCCACTCCATTGCAGAGGCAGAAGTTAGACCTAGCCATAATCACAACTCCATTATTATTTTAGCTTCTTCACAACAAATTGCAAAAAAGCATAATCAGGGCAATTAAATGACTGCTCTGAATACAGTAGCATCTACAAGCAATTAAGTGGCTGCTCTGAATATAGTAGCAATAATAATGGGAGACTTCAACTAACTTCACACAGATTGGGTAAATGCCTCATCAGGGCAAGATGTGGAGATAAAATTTCTAGATGTGGTAAGTGACTGCTTTTTAGAAAAACTCATCTTGGAACTTACAAGAGGAGAAGCAATTCTAGACCTAATCCTGAATAACACGCAAGAAATGATTTAATTGGTATCCATTGGTGAGCCACTCTGCAAAACTGACCATAACAATCACGTTCAATATCATAGTATGAAGGAATACGCCCAAAGAGTCTACCATGGTGATGTACAACTTTAGGAAGGGAAACTGAACAAAAATTACTTAGAAAGTAATTGGTTAGAAAGAAGGTTAAAGGAGAAGTCAAAAATGTGAAAGGGCTAAAAGGCAGCTTGGAAGGTGTTTAAAAATACTGTATTAGAGGCTCAGGAAAAGTGTACATCACAAATCAAAAAGGGTACCAAGTGGATTAATAAAAGGCCCCTCACCAAAGGCTTTAAAAAAAAACCAAAATCCAAACTGTATTGCCATGGGATTGGAGGGAATGTTCTTTCATGAGTGCTAGTTAAAAGACAGGAAGCAAATGGTAAAACTAAATGGTCAGTTTTCAGGATGGGAAGTTGGTCAAAAGTGGAGTGTCACAAAAATCTGTAGTGGGCCCAATTTTGTTCCACATTTTCTCAATGGCCTGGAAATGGGTGCATAGTGAAAATCTCCAAATCTGCAGATGATACCAAATGTGCATGGACACTTCCTGTGAAATATGCTTGCAAAGTCAGGTAAGGGTACACTTAGCATTAACCTGAAAGAATCTTTGAGTAACACAATTAATCAAATGGTAAGATTATATTGGGGGGGGGGAGAGGATAAGAAGAGCAGGCCAGGAGATATGGAAAATGGGAAAATGAAAAAGCAACTGAACTCTAAATACATCTGAAATTGTTTAAGTAGCATCACATGCAGAAGATCTTTCACTTACAGAAGATCTTTCATTCAGAAGGATCTCAAATCCATCTCATTGTCTAAGCCCCCAAATCCACAATGCGGCACTGACAGCCTAAGAAAAAAAAAATGTTACTCAAGTTTACCTTTCGATCCAAGAGGATATTGCGAGGGGAGAGTGCTCGGTGAACCATTCCATATTTGTTCATATATTGCAAGCCTTGCAATGCCTCAAATGCTATGCATAAGATCCTTGAACAGCTGCAAAGAAGAACATATGGTATGTAACTTTTCCTTTCATGATTCTGCAGAAAAAGTGTGCACTGCTTTGGACACTGCAGAGATGGTTTCTTCCTAGGAATTCTTTCAACTAACGATAGTCTGTGAATATAGAAGACTGATTTGGTTACCCAGAGGACCCCTTCAGACCTATGCTGTTCCTACTTAAGACTACTGTACTTCCATAAAGTTTGATGAAAGAATCAATACTAAATATTGTAAAAAGCAACTCAAATACAAAGGTGAGATTTTTTCCCCCCATCCTACTGTTATACATTTCCACTTAAGTGACTATACATTAGTGTGGAAGATCTAGATGCTTATCACTCCAGGACCTGAAAATGAACTAGGAATAATCTCAGTTCTGCTGCTAGGCTACACAGATAGATTTAATTTGAACAAATGTTCTGTGGTGCCCAAATGCTGTTATCTGGACCATGTAGTAATGCTTACACAACTATAAAACAGCATGCAGCAGAAGCGCAACCAATCTTTTTCTTTTTTTAAATTTAGAACAAAAAATGGTGCGCCCCAGAATTAAAATTAAGAGTTCTTCGTTAACTGAACCTCTTTTCAGTTAAAAAGCAGGACCACATGTTTTTTGCTTCTTTTTCTCCATGGATATAAGAAGTTACCATTTAGCATGACGACTTTAATATTCATACTGCACACCTTGCACTAAACAATTATCCAGTAACATGAACATATATGCACATACATGCTCAAGCATGATTACTCCACAGATGTCAAGACTCAAACAGTGTCCAAATGGTAATCAGATTTCATGACTGCTATTAGTATCTTTCCAAACATGGAGACGTAACATGTTCAGGCTTCTCAAACAAATCCAACTTACAAAGTCAAAGACTGAGGTGTAAGGTGTTCTAGGTACTCTCAATTTTTTTAATTTTTCCTCTTTTGAATATACATTTCCAGACTTATAAGCATCACATTTTCTAGGCTTGAAATGAACCTGCTTCCCTGAAAACAAAGACCATCTCTTTGTTTAAAGCTCAAGAGTGTCCAAAGGAAGGCCACATGCATGATTAGAGGCCTAGAGACCAGGTCATATGAGGAGACGCTGAATGACTTGGGACTGTTTAGTCTGGAGAAGAGAAGACCCAGGGGGGACTTGGTGGCAACCTATAAGTATATCAGGGGCAAACATCAGGGCTTGGGGGAGCATCTGTTCACCAAGGCCACCCAGGAGAGGACAAGAAATAATGGTCACAAACTGACTGAAGATTGCTTCAGGCTAGACCCATGGAGAAAACTTCACAAGTTGAGTGCCAAGAGTTTGGGTGGCTATACCACCCTACAGAAGTGGTACAGTCATCCACCCTGGCGATCTTCAAAAAAAAGTCTCGATGCCCATCTTGCTGGGGTGATCTGATCCCAGTGGTCTTTCCTGCCCAAGTGCAGTAGGGCTAGACTTAATGATTTGTAAGGTCCCTTCCAGCCCCTAACAACTATGAAACTACCTGCTTTCCAAGGTTCACGCTACAGAGGGTGCAGACATTATATGAAGCACTTCACAGTGAAGCACATTCAAGTTGTTACTGGCTTATCTGGATTCATTTTTAAGGCAGAACATCCCAATTCAAAGTCCTTTATCAGCTGCATAACCCTGTGCCTTCGTTATTTAGAGCACTTCAAATGTTATGTCTGTACATATCCTAGTGTCCCAGATGTGTTATTCTGTTAAGATGACATACCCCACATATTGGCCCTTTGTCCACGTTTTCTTCACTGTACAACACAAAACTTTAACAAATATTACGAGCTTTGTGAAAGTTACAGCAGGTTGTCTGGCTTCCCATATTGTGAAGCTAAGCCTCTTATTTAAGATGGACACTTGGGCCCAAATTTAAGTCCAATTAGGTAGGTAAGTAGCATTTACACAGCTAGTGTTAGCTGTGGAAGATGCACAACTTGCCATGGACACGTAATAATTTTCAGAAAGCCCCCACACTTTGGTTCTGCTGCAATGCCTTTTGCCAGGACATATACAGAGATTGTGTGGGCAGGTGAAATGTTAGCCATGGTGAAAAGAAAAGGAGAAGGAAAAGAGGAAATAAAATAATAATAAACAAACAAACGAGGACTTACGATGAATCAAACAGTACACTTCCACTTTTTGGTTCTATGGGCTAAGCCACACCCATTCAGTGTTTCTGAATGGAATATTTCTTGGTAATATGGACAAATGGGAATGGAATAGCTTCTCAGGAACAGGACAAAATCCCAGGAGGCTGCACCCAGAAAGGGAAGAAGCTTTTCACAAGTCACATTCCTTTGGCTCTCCTTCTGGCTTCGCTATCAGTAGGCTAGCTGCAACAGGAGATGGAATTTCTTAAAAATGCCTACCCCTAGGGGATAGATTACTAGTGAGATATAGTACATCAAACCCTCTCTGGGTGACGGTGCCCCTAAAACCTGGGTATCCCAGTCCCTGGACATATATACCACTTATCCACTCAGCAACTAAACTAGGCATGGGAGGATCCTCCATCTCCATGATTCTGTGATGTATACAGTGTTATGTAGCTACTCTTGTTGGGAGTAGCTGTGTTAGCCTGTAGTCAGATAGAGAAGGCAGGCCAGGGTGCCATCTAAAAGACTAACTGATTCAGAGAGGCATAAACTTCTGTAGGCAACAGCCCATTTCATCAGATACTAGAGTTGGACTTGTATATACACACGCATGCACACACTTAAATTATATAATTGTTTATATATATTAAAGAAGTATATATGTTTAAGTTAGCTACTTACTCATCTAAAAGTAGGAGATGGCTTCTGGCCTGAGTTGCTAACTAGCAAGTCTTACAGAAGTCTCAGTGGAGACATGATTTGTAACATGACATGTAGTCTTATTGCAAAAAGTAGACAGACAAACAATTTAATTGTGTTGTAAAAAGCAAAACAAAGTTCTGATATTACAGGTATTTTCATTAGTAAGACAGGACCTATGCATTATTCATATAAAAAAATTCCTCTACTGCCATTGATTCTAGTTCTATCCTGTGCAGACACAGATCTACCTCCATCCTCTTTCTAAGACCCCTTCAGGTATTTGAAGGCTTATCAAATCCCACCCGCCCCCAACTTCCCATACACTGCCTCAGTCTTCTCTTGACTAAACATCTTATTTCTTTCAGGCTTTCTTCATAAATCTTGCTTTCCAGGACTCCAATCATTTTTGTTGCTCTCTACTGGACTCCTTCCAGTTTGCTCACATCCTTCTTCAAGTGTTGGACCCAGAACTGGACACAGCATTTCAGGAAATGCCTTAGTGCTGAGTAGGGATGAAAAAAATCACTTTCCTTGAATCTGCAAATAACACTTGTTATACAACCCAGTATACCATTACTGTTTTTTGCAACAAGAGCACCTTGTTAGCTCATATTCAGCTTGTGGTCTACTGTAAGCCCCAGGTGCTTCTCTGCAGTACTGTAGCTTAGCAACTCATTCCCCTGTTTGTGTATACAATTTTTTCATCTCAAAGTGCAAGACTTTGGAGAAATGGTCTGAGATCAATCAAGTAAGATTCAATAAGGACCAATACATTCTATCCAGGTCTTTCTGGAACCTAGCTCTACTCTGCAAAGTGTCTGCCATTAGCTTGGTGTCATCTACAAATGCGCTAAGCATATACTCAGTCTCACTGTCCAAATCATTAATGAGGTTGTTAAATAATACCAGACCTGACTGACCCCTGGGGACCCCACTTGATACCTCCTCCTAACTACACCCTGAGCTACTGATGATTACTTTTTAAGCAGGATGAAGTGTCTCTCTTTCATCCAGTTCTTTGTGATCTCTTTAAGGAAAGAACTAGAGCAGTGGTTCTCAACCTGTTTAGGCTTAGAGAACCCCTTAACAGACTCAAGACACCTCTTAGAAAATGTCAGTTCTTATCTTTCTCTAGTAAAAAAAATCAGTAAATACTAATAGAGCAATTCATTTTGTTGCAAAGAACACAGACCACAAAAGGTCAAAATATTTTTAATACTATGGTTTTCGTTTCAAAACCTCTGGGTTTAATCTTGTGAACCATGTTTGCACATCCAACAATACTCGCATTGCATGTGCTCCATGGCACTCCTGAAAGGATCTTATGGCACCCCATGACTGAGAATCACTGACAGAGACACTTTGAAATGCAAAAGGTACTTGAAAGCCTGAAATGGGTGCTAGAGGAAAGCAATGCTCCATTTTGACACTAGAGGGCCTCATATGCACATTTATTCACAAACAGTTCTCATAAAACAGACAAAAATATGGATAGAGAACTAAGCCAAAATGCTTGATATGGTTTCCAGATTTTATCATTTAGCGAAAGTGAAGGTTCATCCATCCCTATGGGGTTTTGTTGAAAATAGCAGCTGACTGAAAAACATCTGTGTAAAGAACTCTTACCACACTTTCATGTGGATCAGTGTATAACTGGTGGGATTTGCATAGGCTGCCTCCCCTCCACTACTTCCCAGTAGCTAAAATCTATTTCTGCAGCATCTTGGTAAGTCAGAGTATGCCCACCTTCAAAAAAGCAAAAATGGTATACTACCTACCGTTACTGCACTTTGCAATGCTTTAAGTACCAAGTTATCAAAAATTATATTTTTCCTCCTAAAGATATCATTTGTAGCTTGGGTTTGATTATGAAAAGTTTCCCAATTGTAATGAGATATATATGGACGAGCGACTGAGTAATTGATAGAAAAAGCTTCCATACTTTATGAACCTACTTATAGCCAGCCACAACAGCAGTTCTTTTTCTCTACACACAGGAACTGCTGTAAGATTCTCCAGACTACCTCAGGTCCTCCACAGGCTCTAGTCACCAGCACAGCTATCCCAGCAATATAGGGGTACAGTCCTCTACCAAGCTCTGGGGTTCAGACACATTGATTCCTAAAGCATTTCTTTCCTTACTCCAGGTGAAGATGACTTAAGACTGTACATAGAAGTCACATTTG